TGCATACACAAAGAGTGCAATGTGCACCATCCTGGGGATGGACACGCTTGAAGCTCTGATTTGGGGCGGGGAGGGAGGGTAAGGGCAACATATGTAACCTAAACATCTGTACCCCCATAATATGCTGAAATCAAATCAAATAAAATAAAAAGGACTTCTTCAACTTAAAAAAAAAAAAATTCTGCAAAATTACCCTTTGAGTCACCCGTCCTAGCTCCAGCCCTGCAGCTGCCAGTGCCGGCCTGGCTCCCCAACCCCGGTTTCAGGAGGTTTGCTTCAGGCCAGCTGCCCTAGAGGCCCCACCCTACACCTCAAGCTCCTGTCCACCCCAGGGGGGTGCTGACTTAGCATGCCCCCAGCACCCAGAACACTCCACAGCAATTGCTTATCTGCCCACCTGTCCATCTGCCCCACGGGCACTGCAGCATCCCTGGGATAAGCATAGGCTTGGTATACAGCAGTCACTCAATACATGCTCCTGAGTGAATACAGGAAAGAGCAAGTCCTGGGCCCCATCCTGGGCAGCTGTGGCCTCTGCCTGTCAGCCCATGGTGGCCGCTGTGGACAACGAGGACCAAGAGGGGGGCCATCAGCACTGGGCTGTGGATCCTCCAGCAGCTTTGGGACGGCGGGTTCCAGTGACAGCCTTGTGCACCTCACAATCCCCCAGAGCCAGACCTGCTCCCCTCCTCCTTCCTACACTCTGAGCCCTTCTCATCATGTGGGATCCCCCAACTTCCTTTCCAGGCCCCCCTCCAGCCTGAGGCCGAGGGTATCCCAAACCACTGCCTCCAGGAAGGGAGCCTGGGGACAAAGCCCCTGCTAGCAGCCTCACTCTGCCTCCCAGGTTGAGGGCTTCCGGGCACCGTAGACCCGGACGGACCTGCAGGAGGAGCAAAGGCTCAGCCACCAGCAGGTGGACCAAGAGGTGGACAGACAGAGAACTGAGCGAACACGGGAATGGAAGTCCAGAATCACAGAGAGCCGGGGGTCACTTTTACTCTGAAGCTGGCGTGCTGCCTCGGGGCCTCAGCTTCCCAGGAGCTTTGGAAGAACCTCCCTCTGGCCCTGCCTGGGGGGAATCTGCCTCCCTGGGATGGAACTTTCCGGGGAAATCGGCCAGGAACAAGGCACGGATAAGCACATGAGCAACTACGTGCTGACTGGACACTTTGCAGCACTTGCAGGAAATTTTTAAAAAGAAGATCGGGGTTTTTGGTGTTTCCTGAAGGCAGTGTCCAAACCTCAGACCTGCAAGTGGTGCTGGGACGAAGGGGACACCTGCCCTTGAAGGGGAGGTTCACGGACCATCACCCCTGCCGGCCAACATAAGGCCCTGACTCATGACAGCTTTGCTGTTTTGTTTTTTAAACAAAAGGAAGAGTTAGGACACCAAATGCCCAGCATCTTATTCAAAGTGAGTTTGGCCACAGAGAGACACTGCCTGGAAAGAAAACAACATCACAAAATCCTACGGCCCACCGAGCGGGGCTCTGTATGCCAGGACGCGCTCCTCCAAGCCACCTTTACGCTGGCCACTGAGGACATCCTGTCCTCCAACTCGTACATCTCCAGGCCAGGGGAAATTCCCAAACCCTAATGACGATGAGGATTTCAGAGTGTCTCCTCTCTGGTGTGATGCGACCCAGTCCCGCTCCTCTGTTTGCTGACTCTGAGAGGAGCCAGCACTGAGTAAAGAGGGAAGACGACAAAAGGAGCGAGGCTGGTACAGAGTCATTGGGGGGCCTCTGGAGAAGGCCTGGGCCAGATGGCATCTAGAGATACCCTGGAGGCACCCCCATACCTCAAGGCTGCTCTGGGACACAGGGGAGCAGACTGCCAGGCCCAGAGCAGGGTCTGGACTCCCTCACCATGTCCCGAGGCTCCGGACTCCTGCCTGGTACTCAACTTATCTCTGCAGTTGAAGAAAACACCCTTGTCGTCTGCGGGCCCAGGAGGCTGGCCCCGTCCCGAGGCACTGCCACTGCCCCACACTCCCACCGCTGCACCCCATTTCCCATGGGGGGGTCTGTGCTTGCCCCAGCACACTGCTACGTGTGCCAGTGCTCCAGGTTCCTCCCCTCACCCTCAGCAGGGCCTCTCCATGGCCTGAGCCCGGGCCAGTCCTGGCCTCTGGGCCCACCCCACACTGCCCCCAGCCACTTTACATCTCCAACAGGCACCCATTCCGAGGACTCCCCATTCCCCACACCTGCCCAGCTCCACATCTGCAGGCCAGCAGCCTCTGGTTCACCTCCCAGCTGCAAGCCCACTGGGCCCATTCATTCCCCCTCCTCCCTCTGTGGCCACCCGCCTGGCAGGAGGGAAGGAGGAGTCCCTGTCTGGATTCAGGCTATGCCTGCAGGGCAGTGAACCAAGCCCCCAAACACCTGGGCTCTGACCTTGGTCCCAGAAGCTCAGAGATGCTTTGCAAGTGCCCCAGCACTGCCCACCTCGGTGTATTTAAGGCCTAAAATTCCATGTCTTGACGTCTTTGAGCCCCACAAGGCCCCAAAGCCTACCCGTGAGTTCCTCCCTCTCTCAGATAATGCCCTCACCACCAGCCAGACCAGCTGCATCACACCTGGTCTTCAACCTAATGGGTTCCACCTCCTTGCCAGCCCTCAAAAGTATTCAGACAGATCAATCACATCCTCCTGCAGGAGCCAGGGGCACTCCTCCTCTTGTTACTACAAAGCCTGCCTCACAAAGCCCCTGCTCCATCGCTCTGTTCCCGAGTATACTCCATGTGGTCCTGCATGGCTACGAGTCTGTGTGACTAATAAGCTGCTGTCCACCTCACTTGTCCAGTGGCAGGTGCTTGGCCACCTGCACTATTTATCGCGGGAGGCCCCTCCCTTGCCGACGAGCTACATAGGAGGTACTCAGAACGCCTGGGTCCTCACCTGCCGAGGGCCGACGGCAGGCCTGCTGGCACCCAATCTGGGCAGCTGAGCAGCGCCTGTCCGGGTGTGAGTACCACGCACCAACACCCAGTGGGGACCTGGTGCCAGACTTGACTGTTGTCCCAGCGGGAGGGGCACTCACCACACGATGGCCAGCCTCGGGATGGTGAACATGAGGGCCGGCTCGTAGTCATCAATCATGTCTTGGGTCAGGTACCCGAAGTCCAGGGCCCTGTCCAAGGGGGAGAGAGTAAGCGGGGCGGGGCTGGCCCACCCACATCCTCGGGTCGGACGGGAGCTGGGCAGGGGCAGCATGCTCACGCTGCGCCTGCAGCCGCGCTTAGCAGACACGTCCAGAGGGTAGCGCTGATCATCCAGAGGGCCAATGCTGCGGGGACACCCACACCCTGAAGCTCAGCCTGCCCAGCTCTCCGTCTGCCTGCCCCGCCTCTGTCCCAGGAAGCAGGGGGTGGGTAAAATGAGTGGGACAGCTGTGACGTCCAACAAAATAAGAAAAATAATTCAGTCAACAGCTTTGCTTAACCAGGAAATTGAAACAACTCAAGTGTCAAGAATAAACATGGAACAAAAATACTACCCCAAATAATTTAACACTTCCCTGAGAAACTGGATGTATTTCCATTCCCTGGGCATATACAAAGGGGCCTCTTTCTACACCTGATGAGCAGGCCTGTTGACATAATGAATTTTCAAAATAAAAGTTTTTTCAGGCATCTTATTTGAAATATCTCTCAAAGCATCAACAGTGAATAATCCATCTTTTAAAAATAACAAACTTATGATACAATATGAAGCAATTCCAAAACATACCTAACACCATAACACTAGTCAAATCACAGAAACATTCTAGGTTAAATCTTAACCCCCAAATCCATTCAGAAAATGTGCCTTTGACAACTGTAAAAGGCCGGATAAGAATACTGATGATTCACCCACACAAAACCTTGTTCAGCACACATGAAACCCAGCAAGAACCCCATCCTGGCCTATAGAATTAAGGAGGTAAGTAAAGTCAGAGATGAGGAGAGAGGAGTGAGAAAGTGAGGAGGTAAGGTGGTGAGGGGATGAGGAGATGAGGAGGTAAAGAGGGAGGAGATGAGAGGAGATGAGGAGATGAAGAGGTGAGGGGTGAGGAGTGAGGATATGAGGAGTGAAGAGGTGAGAAGTGAGGAGGTGAGAAGTGAGGAGGTGAGGAGTGAGGAGGTGTGGAGTGAAGAGGTGAGGAGGGGAGAAGTGAGGAGGGGAGAAGTGAGGAGATGAGGAGGTGAGGAGTGAGGAGGTGAGGAGGTGAGGGGTGAGGAGTGAGAAGGTGAGAAGAGAAGAAGTGAGAGAAGAGGTGAGGACTAAAGAGGTGAGGAGTGAGGAGGTGAGGAGTGAGGAGATAAGGAGTGAGGATTGAGCACTGAGGAGGTGAGGAGTGAAGAGGTGAGGAGTGAAGAGGTGAGGAGCGAAGAAGAGACGAGGAGTGAGGAGGTGAGGAGTGAGGAATGAGGACATAAGGAGTGAGGATTGAGCACTGAGGAGGTGAGGAGTGAAGAGGTGAGGAGCGAAGAAGAGATGAGGAGTGAGGAGGTGAGGAGTGAGGAGGTGAGGGAGGAGGGGGAGGCAAGGAGGTTTGGATGTCCCCTCCACCATTACTGATCCTCCCAGCCAGCTCTCCTCCTCTGAATCATGACTTCGCCTGCAGGATCTACTCTTTGCACCAAGAGAAAAGTTACCATGAGGTGGAGGAAGGGGCGGGCAGAGGGGAGGAGGGCGGCCTCCCGGCTCCGCCCAGCAGGGAGGGGAAGCGCATGCAGTGCTGAAGCGTGGGCTGATGCCTTCCCACCTGGGCATGCCCTGGATGAGCTGCACTTCCCCAGGCCTGGATCAACAGAAAGGATCAGGGACTCGCGGACACCCCACTCTGGCCCTCCTGTCCTCACCTCTCCACCGTCTCACAGAACAGCACGATGACCTCCTGCTGCACGTAGTACTCCCTGGGAGACTTCACCGGCACCATGGCAGAGACATAGCTGCAAACACAGCGAGGAAGGTTAACGCTGCCCCCGGGCCACTGTGGGCCTCTCCAAATCAAGTGTGTGTTAAATTAAAACTGCAACACTGCCCCATTTCTATGGTTTCATAAATGCACAACTCCCAGCTTTACAACTATTTTAAATCAAAGTTCATGCCAGGGAAGGCCCAGTCCAGGGCCTCCTCAGGCCCCATTGCCCTACCCCGTCAGCCCTGACAGCCCTGGAACTGTCGCTGCCTGTGTACAGGGACTGTCTCCCATGGCAGCACTGGCCTTATCAGCAAGTGAGTGAAGGAATGAATGAATGCATGCGTGCCTGGGTGGCTGAACAGGTGAACACCCCGTGAGCCCTGCATGGGCAACGTCATGTTGTGGGCACCTCGGTAGCCCTGGAAGCCAGCCCAGGCCGCAAAGGCACTCATAGGAGGCTGGCTGGGTGGCTACAAGGATGTTAAGGTTTGTCCAACCATGCCCCGATGAGAACATTTTCTTTTTGTGGGTTTTTTTTGTTTTTTTTTTTTTTTTTGAGACAGAGTCTGGCTCTGTTGCCCTGGCTAGAGTTCCGTGGCTTCATCCTAGCTCACTGCAACCTCCAACTCCTGGGCTCAAGTGATCCTCCTGCCTCAGCCTCCCGAGTAGCTGGGACTACAGGCATATGCCACCACGCCCAGCTAATTTTTCTATTTTTAGTAGAGACGGAGGTCTTGCTGTTGCTCAGGCAGGTCTCGAACTCCTGGCTTCAAGTGATCCTCCCACCTCAGCCTCCCAGAGTGCTAGGATTACAGGCATGAGTCACCACACCCAGCCCAAGAACATTTTCTTTCCTTCTAAATCACTAACTGATTTTTTCTTATGAAAGCTTATTTAGCAAATCTGGGAAGACAGAAGAAATTGAAAGTCTGTTGTCCCTGCTCTCACTTCCTAGAAAGCACAGGCTTTAACGTGGTGGTAGGTTTCCTCCTAGAGTTTGACAGATGACAGGATGAACAATTTTTACTAACTGGGACCACCGTGGACACGATGCTGCCTCCTCTTTATCTCATCTACTGCGAGCGCTGTCACGTCTGTGGACATGTCTAGCCCCGTGGGCCCTGGGCTGGCCTAGCTCCTCCCTCTGCAGAATTTTCTAGCTTGAAATATCAGAGTGAGCTCCTGACAGCTGACACCACCCCTCCACTCACAAGGCAAAGGCCGGGCCCCCCAAGTTGATGGCCCACGCAGGCAGCCCTCAGTCACCTCAGCTCAAACTCTGCAAACAAGACGTCGAAGTGCCTCAGCGCCTCCCTCATCTTCTCCGTGTAGGTGTTGAGGTCCCGTAGCGCCTGGTCGCGTAGGGCACCCCGTACATCCTCCAGGCTGCGGGTCAGCTCCTTGGCCAGCGGGCGCATGGCCATGCTCTCAAGCTCCCGGTTCATGATGATGGAGCCAGCGGCCAGGCACTGTGGGTGGGGGGGACACAGTCAGGGAGAGGCCCAGGACAGAGGGCAGGGCTCTCAGGAGTCACCCTGTCCCTGGGGAGGCCAGCTCTGCCACGCCCCAAGGTTTCAGTGCCCATCTTCCCACTCTAAGGCAAGGACCTGAACCTGTTCCTGGTACCCCCTGAAGAGACTTCTCTTAAGTTCAGGACACCGACCTTTCTAGGAAGTCAGACACCTCCTGTCAATATGCTCAGACTCAATGCCAGCCTCCTGGGCAGGCAGGGAGGGCCTCTCCATACCCATGAACCCCCAAACCTGCCCTGTGCTCTGGGGGTAGGCCCTGGCGTGTCAGTGACATGAGGTCCCACCAGCCACTCTCAGGGGCAGGGACTGTGATGGGGGTGCTCGCCCACAGCTTCACTGGGTTCATGGCAGAACCAATCAACCAGCCAATGAACGTGTCAGCGGTAATCAGACAAGCAGGACAAGAAGCCATTTCCCAGGTGACAGAGCCAGGGGTCGAGGGTTTCCCAGGGTCACCTGGAAGGGAGCATGGAGCTTGCAAGCACCAGGACCACACAGGAGCTGATGGTGCCCCGAATGCCAAGTGCCCATCAAGCCAGCAGGTGCAGGGCCTGCCCCTCCTCACAACTCCTCACCCTCCACCTGGGACCCAGAGGTGAAAACAGGCTGGGGAGGAGGATAACCTGCCTGGCGGCCACCCACACCCCCACAGCCTTGGCAGAGGACATCCTGACCAGACAGTTCAGAGGAGTCGGGCAGGCGGAGGGACAGGGTAAAATGGGGAGCAGATGGGCACATGGGCTGGGCAGCGTCATGTAAGGGCCTGGCTGTCCCAGGGATCCGTTGAGAGGTGAGGCGGGAGGGCAGGACAACAGAGGGGATGGGTGTCAGGCTGCAGTCAGACCCCAGGGCACGGCCAAGGGGAGGAGTCTGGGGGAGGTCACACGGTAGGGGCTGGGGAAGGCTGGCCCACCTCGTTGCAGGGAGTGGGGCACCTTCCTGTTAGTGCCTCAGCTTCCTCACTGGGAGCTGAAGATAAAGATCTGACCGGCTATCGTGAGACGCCACAAGTGAGGGCCACACAGCTCCCCAGCCCTGCTGCCATCCTCGCTGTAGGTGGGGGAGGGGATCTACTATTCTCGATCAATATCAATAGCAATATTATTGCTATTAAGAATCACTTTTAGATCCTGGATGTTTGGGGGTCTGAGAACCTCATAAAAATCACGTGGGAACTTCATTTGCATATGTAGTTTTGGGGGGCCCAAGTTCATGTCTTTTCCAGACTCTCTTAGAGGCTCATGGTCTAACAGGCTCAGACTGAGCCACAGAGGAGACAGCAGGTCCCTGCACCAGCAAGTGCCCACAGATGAGTTCGCAGGGACACAGTGGGACACCACCCAACATGAGCCCATGGAACCCAGGTGGCTGCCCACTACCTCAGCGCCAAACCACAGCTGGCCAGCCAGGTTGTCATGCCGTATCTCCTCGGGGAATTTGACGCAGAAATCCCGAGGGGCACGGTCCTGGGGGATGCACTCGTCCATGATCTGGTTAATGATATTTAACACATTGTCCTGAAACAGAAACAGAGGATACACACTAATTGCTGTGCCCAGCTGGCGGCTCTCACCTACTGCTGGAAAATATAAACAGTGCATTTAACTGCTTTTAGGATTACAAAAGTGATATGGTGCACACCTATGCTTGCTAAACCATTGCTACAAAAAGTTCAAATATTCCAGAATTATCTAAAGTAAAGAGTGGAACTACCGCATGCCCCCAACAGCTATATATTCTCTAGAGCTGCAGTCCCCAACTTCTGGGCTGTGGATGGGTACCAGCCCAGGCCTGTGAGGAACTGGGCCGCACAGCAGGAGGTGAGCGGCAGGGAGCGAGCAAAGCTTCATCTTTATTTACAGCCGCTCCCCATCACTCACATCGCTGCCTGAGCTCCGCCTCCTGTCAGATCAGCAGCAGCATTAGATTCTCATAGGAGTGCAAACTCTACTATAAACTGCATATGTGTGGGCTCTAGGTTGCTTGCTTCTTATGAGAATAATGCCTGGTGATCTCAGGTGGAGCCAAGGCGGTGATGCTATCGCTGGGGAGCAGCTGCAAATACAGATTATCATTAGCAGGGAGGTTTGACTGCACAATAATGTAATGCGCTTGGATCATCCCAAAACCATCCTCCTTCCACCAGTCCGTGGAAAAATTGTCTTCCATGAAACCAGTCCCTGGTGCCAAAAAAGGCTGGGGACCACTGCTCTAGAATATGTGTTGGCATGATGTCCACGTCCTATACAGATGTCACATAACCCCTTGTAACAGCTGTACCAGATTCCTTACGGGAAGAGGGAACCCTTCCTCTACTGACTGACACCAGGCTCCCTGCAGGCTTGGCATGATGACTACCCCTGAGCATCCCTCCCTCTGAACACCTGTACAAGTATTCCTTACGGCAGAGCTCGAGAAGTGGAATTGCTAGGTTGATAGACACATGTAAAAATTTGATTTTGCTGCCAAATTGTTGTGTTGCTTTTATTGAGATTCCAAGCCCGTGTCATCCTAGGTTTTTGCAACACTGCCAGGCAGCATCTGCTGTAGGGAGTGACAGCACTAAAAGACAGTGTGAAACCTGCCCAGGACTCCGAGGCCTGTCCCTGCAATGGAGGGACAGGCCCTGGTGAGAATAAAAGGGCCCCCTGCAACACCAGCATCCACTGGAGCCATGGGGTCAGACCCTCAGCAAGCAGGGGACCTGGGCAAAGCCCTCGTACTCTCTGAACCTCAGTTTACTCCTCTGTAGGGTGAGGGGCACAGACCCAAGTCTTAGGGTCAGACGAGCGCAGCTGGGCCCTGCTTCCTCATAGGGGCAACGTCCCCTCCCACCTCCTCCGGAACCAGCACATCAGTAACACTGAAGAGGCGGCAGCCAGCTTCCGTGACGTGGAGACCCTGACTCTAGCCCTCATGCTGTGCCACCGGGACAGGCCACTTCAGTTCTCTGAGCGGCCGATCCTATCTGTGAAATGAAGACAGTGATCCCCAGCTGCTGAGGGGACCGTGAAAGCTCAAGCCTGGAAAACCCTTGGACCCGTCTCGGGCCCCGGCCAGCCTCCATACACAGCAGCTTTTGTGTTAAAGACTCTTTTACTTTATTTCCTTGTGCTCAAAATACAAAGCACAACGGCCTGTTCTGAACACTTTCTGTGTGTAAGAGAAACAAGTCCATTTTATTGCATCTTAAATTACATTCCATCCTTTTCTTTTCAATTGTCCTATTCTTTAGACATCAACCATTCATTTGGAAGAATTAAAGAACACCGAAAGCTTAATTTTTTCCCTTTAATTTGTTAGATATAAAGTTAATGCACAGTCATCACAGGAAAACTGGAAACTGGAGAAGCATAAAAGCAGGAAAATGTCCCTAGGGAAATACTCCTGCAGGTTGGGCATAGTTCCTTCATCTTTGTCTTCAAACAGTGCTGAGATCGTCCTGTGAGCATAATTTTGTACTCTGCAGCTGTCGCTCATGGTTGGAACATGTTATGACAACTTTTCACAAATCCAGCTTTTGATGGATGGCTACATAAGGTTCCAGCATATAGGCCACCCCATCAGCTCGCTCCTCTCACTGTTGCGGGACACTTACGATGTTTCTAATTCTCTACACCACATAACGCCACCATCACTACAGTGGTGCACAACGCTCCAAATTATGGATTACTTCCTTAGGACCCACCAATTTCTAGAAATGGAATTAAGAAGTCAAGAGTGTAGGCCAGGCGCGGTGGCTCACGCCTGTAATTCTAGCACTCTGGGAGGTCGAGGCGGGCGGATTGTTTGAGCTCAGGAGTTCGAGACCAGCCTGAGCAAGAGCGAGACCCCGTCTCTACCAAAAATAGAAAGAAATTAATTGGACAGCTAAAAATATATAGAAAAAAATTAGCCGGGCATGGTGGCACATGCCTGTAGTCCCAGCTACTTGGGAGGCTGAGGCAGTAGGATTGCTTGAGCCCAGGAGTCTGAGATTGCTGTGAGCTAGGCTGACGCCACAGCACTCACTCTAGCCCGGGCAACAAAGTGAGACTCTGTCTCAAAAAAAAAAAAAAAAGTCAAGAGTGTAAACTGCATTTATATGCTCTAATTATGTTCTGCCAAACTGCTTTCCAGAAAGATCACATTAATTGACACACTCACCCTCGGCAATTTTAAATCTCAACTTCCCTCCTTTTTGCCCTCTGAGGCTTAAGTTTCATTTTTCTTAGGAAGCAGGTATGAAAAATTACTGCGAGCAGGGAAGCCCAACTTTTCTAATCCAAGGAGTCAACACACACTAATTTTTGAAGGAAGTTCTGCAATATAAACCCTTTATAATACAAAAAATAAAAATAAAATTCAACCAACATCAAGTGGTACTATTGTCATTTCTTCTTAAACGGTTTTCTGGGTAGGAAGGTCCCTTACTCAAGATGCAACAAACTAATGAGCAAACAATGGTGATAATAACAGCAGGCAGTGCTCCGAGGCTCAGTGAGGAGGCATGGCTTACCCAAGGTTGGGGAGCTTTCTAGGTGGTGCTTGCACTCACTGTGCACCCTGTCTGCTCTGCCAGAACATCAGCTGCCTGAGGGAAGGGTCTTTTGTTATTTATTCATGAGGCCAAGAGAGCAATGCCTAACACAAAGTACTCCCCAACAAACATTCACTGGAACCTCTAATTCCAGCCAAGATAGAGTAGCAGGAACCCACTTTACCCACTTTACACTGCAAACAACAATAGCAATGATTGCCAAGACACTGGACATCATGCAATGAAGGACAGTGATCCCTCAGTGGCAGGAAACAAACAAGGTGAGCCCCACAACTGCCCGGCTCACTGCCTTGAGGAAAGTTTCAAGTCATGGCACAGGGAAAGGGAACCGGAAGGAATCAAGGCAACTAGAATTCAGAGGACAGAGTTCAAGAGTATGAGAGAGGGGAGAGCTGCACAGAAAGAGAACTCTGGAGCTCTGGAGAGGGTGCCCTCGAGGATTCAGCAGAAAACTGATCAACACATGCCTGTGAGGAGACTACCTAAGCCTGGGAAAGAAGTGCGTGAAGGATTTGAGGGAGTGGTGACAGGGCCCTCCAAGGCCTGGAGCAGTCAGAAAGCACATAATTCACAGAACACTGGGTAGAGTACCCAAAAGCATCTTGCCTAGTGTGGAGAATAGATAGCTCTAGAGTAAACACAGCTTTGATCCTTCCTAATACCTTAAAAGATAAGATCCAAAGGAGTAAAGTGTTTCTAAGTAACTAAACTGCATCACAGAACAAAACTCAAAAATATTTATAGGAATACAAAAATAGCCCTAAGCAAGGTAAAATTCCCAATGTTAGGCGTCCAATAAAAAACTAACAGGCTTGCAAAGAATTAAGAAAACATGACTCATGACTACTAATAAAAGAAAAAGCAATCAATCAAAATCAATCCAGACTTGACACAGATGACAGAATTAGCAATCAGGGACATTAAGACAGTTGTTATAACTGATTTTCATGTGTTCAAAAAGTTTAGCAGAGGCCGGGCGCGGTGGCTCACACCTGTAATCCTAGCACTCTGGGAGGCTGAGGCGGGAGGATCGCTCAAGGTCAGGAGTTTGAGACCAGCCTGAGCAAGAGCGAGACCCCGTCTCTACTAAAAACAGAAAGAAATTAGCTGGACAACTAAAAATATATAGAAAAAATTAGCAGGGCATGGTGGCGCATGCCTATAGTCCCAGCTACTCAGGAGGCTGAGGCAGGAGGATTGCTTGAGCCCAGGAGTTTGAAGTTGCTGTGAGCTACGCTGATGCCATGGCACTCTAGCCTGGGCAACAGAGTGAGACTCTGTCTCAAAAAAAAAAAAAAGTTTAGCAGAGACAATGACGAAATTAAAAGGACACACATTGATCTCTTAGAGATGAAAATTTCAATGTCTGCTGGACACAGTGGCTCATGCTTGTAATCACAGCTACTCAGGATGCTAGCATAGAAGGACTGCTTGAGCCCAGGAGTTCAAGAGCAGCCCGGACAACATAGCAAGATTCCATCTCTAGAGATAAAAATGTAAAAAAAAATTACAGTGTCTAAGATGACAAAATTTACTGGATGAATTAACCTCAAATTAGACATTTTAGAAGAAAAGAACAACAAACTTGAAGACATAGCAATTGAAACTATCCAAGTGAATCAGAGAAAATAATAATAATAAAATAATAATAATAGGACAGATCATCAGTGAGCTGTAGGACAACTTCAACAGGTTGAATATACATGTAATTCAAGTCCCACAAGGAGGAATGGGGCAGAATCATTAAAAAAGATAGAATACATTAAAAATTATAAGACAGGAAATAATTGCAGCCAATTAATAAGGAGGAAGAAAAACAGGAAAGAGGAAACAAGAAGAGATGGGCCAGACAAGAAACAACTAGCAAGGTGACAGACTTAAGCCTAACCGTATCAAAGATATATTAAACAAAAATGACCTAAATACCCAACTAAAAGGCAGAAATTTTCAGATAGCATAATGAAGTGAGAACCAACC